GGTGGATGAGTAGGTAGATGGATGGATGAGTAGGTGGATGGATGGATAGATGGATGATACCATATCAACGGTTCATCCAATGGTAGTTGAGTTTGAAGGTATATTATAGCTGTCTTTTGAAGTACAGTGTTATCTGCTTAGTTGGTTTAGACTTTTTTTAAAATATTTTTTTAGTTATACATGGGCACGATATATTTGAGAGTTGGGGGGAGTGAAGAGAGACACAGGAAGGGAGGCAAAGGAACCAACTTCTGAGCACTTCCTTCCTGTAGGGTCCTCTGTGTGGCCCCTCACGTATTTGGACTCCCTTTACAAGGCAGGGATTGCCCATGCATGCAGGCCAGGACTAACGGTGGCCACAGGGTCTGCTGGGGTCTTTATTCAAAAATCGTTTTTTGGCTTCCTGACAACCCTCCCCTGCGGTCCCCCACTCAGCGTGTCCCTCTTTCCTGCTGGGTCTTTCCTCTTTGGAACCTGCCATGGTCTACTTTACTTGATATTTCACCTACTTGTCTGGTTTATTGTTTGTCCTCCATGCTGGTGACAAAGCCCCCAGGAGACGGGGCTCTTTTTTACTCACCACTGTGTGCACCACTGGCACTTAGTAGACACTTTTGCATGAATCTACTCTCTAGGGCAGAGTGGAACAGCCATGGGCTGCAGCCTCTGTGCCTCCAAATCCTACAGTTTTCTCAGTCGTCCATGTTAGAGCAACTTTCTGTACCTTATTTGTGTGGCGCTAAAAGCAACCAATTGAGTTGGACTCTGGGAGAATCATACACACTCTTGTGCAGCGTCTCGCAGACCAGCATTTCTCAAATTGCCTTCTAGGAGTGCTAATTAGGATTCTGCAAAACTGGCTTCTGAGGCCAATAAGTTGGCCAAAGTGCTGCCTACTCCTTTGCTCTTGCAGAAGCTCTACACACATTTCACCAGTTCAGAAGAGTTGAGGGAGGCTGCGGCAGTCAGACACTGGTTAACATTTAATTCCACTTTACTCCCATTTTTTAAACCCTAAAGATATCCCCTCGTAAGCAACAGTTATTAACATCTTGAGGAAGTAGCGTTCCATAGGTCCCAATGTGAAGACCATTGCTGCACACAAAAAACTGGCAGAGTTTTAAAAAAGGGATGTATACTGTAGTAATTTAAAACACTATTCCAATCAGAATCTTTACCATGTAGATTCGAATTCCATTATGCAGCCTGTTGAAGGGTAAATCCCCACCTGAGACCCTTCAAGGGCCAGTGATTCACCCTTCATTTCAGCAGGAGACAGTGGTACTCTAAAAACAGCACTGTCAAGCAGATATACAATGTGAGCCAGAAATGTAACTGTAAATTTTCTAGTGGCTATATTTTTAAAAACCTAAAAAAGAAATGGGTGAGATTAATTTTGATAACATATTTTATTTCACTATATCCAAAATCCTATTTGAGTATATTGTCATAACAATTATTAATGAGGTGTTGAACATTATTTTATTTGTATGAAATCTTCAAAATCGGGTGTGTATTTTATACTTAGCACACGTGTCAAAAGCTTGTCCACCACAGATGGACTTTGGTTTCCATAACGGACAGTGATGAGAACTGTAGCTCAAAGCTGAAACTCTCCTGCCACCTGTTTGTGTAAATAAAGTTTTATTGGAACACAGCCACTCTCATTCATTTGCATATCGTCTAGGGCTTCTTTCCTGCCACAGTGGCAGAGGGGAGTAGTTGCAGCAGATAGCATGTAGCCAGCAAAGCTGAAAATACTTACTACTTGTCCTCATGTAAAATGTTTTCTGACCTCTGTTCTAGAGGATTTATTTCTTTTCATCTTCTTTATTGTGGGGACTCTGTTTGAAAGCATTTACCAAATGCCTAATTCCACCCAGTTCTGCTCTGGGCTCCCCATGGGCGGCTGCTCCCCACCCCAGCACCTATTCTCACCAAACTCTTGCCTGAGGTGGGCACACCCACCCCGCCCCACATCCTGCCATGTAAGTACATCTATCCCCCCATGTGGAGAGATGGTAGCTTCCCACCTGCTACCCTGCGCTGTGCTCACATGTGTTCTGGCCTTCTGGGTCCCTGCTCAGCTGTGGCCTGATTGAGCAACTGGAGTCTTCTCCCTGTGCCTTGAGTCCTCTCAGGCTTTCCAGCTATTGGACCCCATGATGCAGAGTGGAGGAGGTGACATTCCTTTGCCTGCCATGGCTGACTGACTGTATTGAGAGGTACCCCATACTCCTTGGGGGTCAGGGACAGCCAGAACCAAGGAAGCCCCTGGCTAATATGGCAGGAGGTGACTGTGTGTGTTCTGTGGCCCCATGAGGAAGGCTGTCTTCCTCGTGAGCCCTTGTCAGTAACTGCTGTGGTGTTCTAAGTCCAAGTGACGCTGCCCGACATTGGATCATCGTGGCGTAGCTCAGAAATGATAATATTTGACAGTTGCAGTAGTGTACGCCTGTAATCCCAGCCACTTGGGAGGCTGAGGCAGGAGGATCTCAAGTTCAAAGCCAGCTTCGGCAATGGAGAGGCGCTATGCAACTCAGGGAGACCCTGTCACTAAATAAAATACAAAATAGGGCTGGGGATGTGACTCAGGGGTCGAGTGCCCCTGAGTTCAATCCCTGGTACAAAAAAAAAAAAAAAAAGAAATGATAATATTTGTCAGATGCATCCGTTTGTCCCTTGGGATCCTCTTTCCTCCCCAGCTGTTCTGTGTCCTGGGCAGATGACCCATAGGGACTACACCAGGGTCATGTGGATGTCTGCCTGCTGCATCCTGTGGCTCTGTTGCTGGCCCTCAGGAGCTGGCAGAGGAGGTGGCTGCTAGCAGGGAAGGAAGGCCACTTTGGGATGCAGCCCCTGGAGCCCGAGCTGGAGCCCAGGGCCTATTACTTCAAACAGCTCCGTCTTTGTAAATGATGCTAAACAAACCACACTTAAAAAAAAGGAAAAAAAAAGTTTTTGGGGGATTAACAAATGTCTAATGAATTCAAATCTGTGACATAATAGAGCCGGGTAAATATATTTTAAGTAATCAGCATGGAAGATTACTGACAGAGAAGTGACTATTGAATCTTAATTAAAATTGTATTCCGAGAACTGTCACTTAACACATTCCTCTAACAGTCAAACAAAAGGCGCTTTAAACCCCAAGAACAGAGGGAGACAATGAACTGAGTGACTCTGCAATGGTGTGAATTCGGGGTGGGAAGGGGCTGGAGGAGGCAGCCCCCGGGGTAGGTCACTCCATCAGCCCCGGTGGTGTGAGTGGTGGAGGGAAATGGGCGAGGTGGCCATTAGGAGACCAGGGCTGGGACCAGGTACAAGATCACAAAGGAATGTAGGTGGAAGGGCCAGAGGATTATTTGTGGGCAAAGCTGGGAGCTGTACTGAGATCAGAAGCCAGACTGTGGAACAGGTGCTGGTATCAAATGTCAGGATCGGCTTTGTAGGAGGAGTCCAGGTGAGCTCCTCAGCTCAGAAAGGCTATGTGCTGGCACTAGCGGAGAGGGTGGGACACAAGGAGAGGCAGAATCAGAGGAGCAGGAAGAGGAAGAAACTCTTTCCGGGCTCCAGCCTGCAGTGCCCCAGTCAGCTCAGGTTTGGGTGTTTATCCAGTGTAGGAACAGTATCTCCTCCCTCCCTTGATTGGATTTCTTCATGAGTCCTTGAAAAATTGCAAGGTGAGTGCTATCACCAGGACAGTGAGCAACCTGCCCCACCTTTCCTTGTGGCCCTGGGTACTGTTATCAACATTTTAACCTCTATGCAGTGAGGTTCAAAGCAGGTTGGGTTTCCCCAAACTCCCCTAGCTACCCTGGAAAGAACCACGATTCACACTGAGGATTGCCTGGCTCCACGCCATGCTCAGAGCGCAGGAGTCCCCTTTTGGAGGCTTCTCTGGGTATACCCAGGGAAACTGGCTGTTTCCACTACAGGATTGCCTAGGAATTGGTGATGCCCCAGCTGTTCCACTACAGTCTTGGAGAAAGGCCTGGAAGGAATACGGAGGTTCTCAGAAACTGCACTGGCTCAGAAAGACCCGCATGTCAGTCCCCAACGGCGATGAGTCATACACACCCCGCACACATGCACGTGCACACACAGGCATGCACGCATGCACACATGCACGCACAGAGAGAGAGAAATGTATTGGCAATGAATACAGAATTGTGAAACGAGGCTGTGTGTTTGTAGTCAAAGGCTCCAGACAGAATTTTATATTTAAAACAAAAGGAAAAAAGAATGGACAGAGAATGGAAGCAGAAAGGAGAGGTCCTGTTCCTGGGCCAGAGGACTGCAGGCCCCATCATTCCCATCCCAGTCGCTGCCTCCATTCCCTCCTGGGGCCGCCTCCCTGTCAGCATCACCTCCAAGCTGCTCCAGACGGAAGGAGCAGCATTTAGCAGATGGCTGGCTCAATGTCTGTGCCATCTCTCCACCCTGATTTCCATTTAAAAGATACCTTAGCAACCAGCCCGAGCCACCCGCCCCTCCAGCCTGTAAATCAAGCAAGATGCTTGTCTCGGGCTTCAGGTAAAAAGAATCAGCCCCTCCAGGGTGCTCCAGGCTGGGAAAGTGTGAA